TAGCGCACTTTAAATGTGAACGAGAGCCAACCAAATACTAGCATATTAAGGAATTCTCCGAAAATCAGTTTTCTCGTGTTTACACGAATTACACAAACTCTTTGGACAGTGTATAATTTGAAGGCGAACGCGAGTTGGGAAAAAGTATCAGTTAAGGCAGTGGTTCCCAAACTTTTCCTAGTCACGGCGCCCTTTTTAAATTAAATTTTTCCATGGCGCCCTAACCTAAGTATGACTATTCGTAAGAGATAAAAAAATAAAACTCGTGTATCTTCATTAGTTTTTTTACTTTATTAACATTAAATTAACATTTGATAATTAATGTGATGGATGAGCCCGCAAATCACTACACATTTTCTTAAATTGAAGCTTTTACAATATTTCGCGGTGCCCTTGTAAAGAGGCCGCGGCTCCCCGGGGTGCCACGGTGCACAATTTGGGAATCACTGAGTTAAGGCAATCGCGTATTGCCCTGAAGGTGGCATTTGGCCGTGCTGCCGAATGGGTCCAGAGGCACGTGAAGTGGCTGTGGCCTGTTCTTTCTCTACCTCATTCTAGTTCCATCGGGATCGATGATGAGGCTCGGTGAATTCGAGTCAGCCTTTTAAGCCGGATGAGGGAGAGGCTCGTCTGAGAGGCACGAAGGGAACCGAGCGAGATGAAGGAGGCATGCCTCCACTTAAAGCGAACGAGGATACCAATCGGTCCCAATCGATCTCGATTGGGACCGATTGAAACCGATCGAGCTGATTGAGACCGATCGAGAGATCGAGACCGATTGAGACTGATCGAGGCCGATCTATGGCTTGTATGTACCTGCCTTGCAAAAGAAAATCGCCTGACAGTTTCGACACAAATTCACTCTGCTGGCCGCAAGGGGGGAAAGAAGGCTGGAAGACAAGAAGGCAAGAAGACAAACTTTGCCCCCTCCCTACGGCTCTCTGTGCAACCCTTAGACTTGCTAATACGGAGGGCCTGGTCCAGCCTGTAGAGGGGAGGGAGTCAGAATGATGTGCACCGGCAGCGAAGAGATCGACCTGAGCTCGCGCCATAAGCCCGTGTACAAGAGGCTTATTTTATCGCTAGATGCTCCCGAGTGTATTGCGGATAAGCAGGTGGGGCCTTTTATCCGGTGTTAACTTGTCGTCAAATAGTCCATTCTAACCTGTTTGCATTGCAACTGCCCAACCTGTGGGTCGGTTTTCGTGCCGGCCGAGAATGCTCGCTCAAGCTCAACTGTTTGCCCACGTCTTGACAGCTTAATCCGGCTTGAGTGGTCCTCTCGAAGTTGCTCCGGCTCGACTAATGTGCCTCATCTGTCCGTCGACCCGTCTCCCATTTCCCGTATCCCGTCTCGCGTCTCACATCTTGCGTTTCGCGTCTTCTGTCTCCTGTCGTCCATCTCCCTTTCTCTGCCGCTCTCGGCCCACCCCTCTAGCAAACGGATGCTCGAGGCCGGGGTCTCGGGGCGCACGTAATCCGCCGTCGGCCAGATCATTACTAGGGTGACCAAGAAATCGGTTGTCCGGCTCTTCTGCCCAATTGGAAATGGGCTACTGTGGGCGAGAAAGAGGTTTGTCGCCCCAAGTCTGGCTTGTGGGGTGGGGATGGAATCCGGCCGTCTCGGCCGTCTGGAAACTTGACAACGGAGCAGACGACTCGGCTCATCTCGCCAAGTCGGGGTATATTAGAGGTTCATACAAGACATAAGCATACAGGCATGTATGCTCTCGCTCATATGGGATTGTAAGCTCAGGTGTACAACAGCACTCGATGTTCCCAGTCGCCCAGCCAGACACCGCCACATAATCTCAAGCGCCGACATTGTCATTAGAATTATATAGGATTCAACAAAAACATAGACATGCACGGAAGCATACACTCAGCCTAGGCACATATACCCGACTAACAGAGAAATGTTCAAGTGTATACACAGACACACACACATCCTCCCCATGATCTTACCGACCAAATAACAAAAGCATCAGGGGCATGTGAAGAAGGGAGCGTTCGGGGGGAGTAGTGGAGGCAGTCACCGAAAGACGTCTTTCGGGATTGCGTGGCTGACTGGCAAGTGGATCAGGCAGGAGGCTGCTCGACAATTTACAAAGTGGCCCGTTATGTTAGGGCCAGTGATGACCTGAGGCGATAAGCTGAACTGAGGTGTGCACAACCAGATGGAGTATAAATCACAGTAGTTATTTGGCATGTGAAAGACATGCAATTGTACAGGCAGAGGCGGGCCTGAAAGAAGAGGGACAGGAAAGTATATGCATGGGCTTGGTGGTTGTAATTTTCGGAGTCAAGTCCACTCGATGCGAATTCAAATAAGGATTGCCTTTTATTTGGGAATGT